CTACGGCCGGTATGTTTGTAGTTTTGTAAGTATAAACTTCATTAGTATGTAAAGAGTTTAACTGTTTAACAAATGTGTTAGCAGGAATTGAAGGAAGTGCATTGAAGGATGATGGATGCACTTGAGGAAAGCCATAAAAGGCTTAGTAACCAATTTGTAGAGGAGCTTATGAAGGTGCAACTCCATCTACAGGGGATGCTAAGTTCAAATCTAAGGGACCTTGTTGACAATACAGGCGATAAGGCAGTGATTCTTCCATCTGATGGTGAAGGTGAAGAAGGAGGTAGTGACAAATGTGATAGTGATGGAGATACTGCTGAAGGTGAAGCCCATGATCAGGAAAGAGGTAGTGATGAAGTTGATAAGGATGGAGAGGAAGGAGACAGTGAGAAAGGTGATGATGAAGGAGAAAAAGGGGTGAAGTCATCAGATGTAGAGACTGACAGGGAGAAGACCAAAGGCCATCAAAGAGAACAATCATTCCAAGTCGTCAAGTAACTTCTCCGTGGATTTCCATGTTGAAGCCTGTTAAGAGGAGAAAGAGAGTGATAACTGAGAAAGACAAGTTTTTCAACATTGTCTCTTGTATGTGTTCACGGGAGGAGGGTCAGAAGTAAGATATGCCGTGTATGGAACATTGAAAGTAGGAAAGTCTTTTCATCTTATTTTGTTATTGCTGTTTTACTTACATATGATGTACACATTGTAGGATTATGGTTACAATGTGTGATGAACAAATTGATCGGGATCAGTTGAGCACGATAGGTGGAAGCAAAAGAGTGAGTAGCCCTCTAATAACAATGGTCGGTAGGGCATTAATGGCAAAGGCAAGTGAGGGAGGACAAGTGAGGCGACACATTTTTGATGCTGAATTCATGGTAAGCCCTGTGGTATGTACGGTTTTTTTGACAATTACGGGTTGTGATGATTAAACTAATATGTTGTTTTGCAGATGAAAATGCTTGGTAACCCTTCACAGTGGTGAGCATCAGAAAACAAACGTGCTATTTTGCCACAGCATATCGGTACAACCTAGCTGACTGTGATTTAATATTTGGACCCGCAATTGTTGAGTCTCACTAGTTTTGCTTTGTGTTGGAGCCAAAAACAATGCATTTTTATGTCCTGGACTCCATGAGGCTGCCTAATGATATGCCAAAGAAGACCAAGAAGAAGGATTCATTGGAAGAAAAAAGGATGTTTCATCTTTATGCATGTGTAAGGACTAAACTAATGTAGCTGTGTATCACAAGTGCCCAATGTTTCCACCTTTTTAGCTCATATTTTGGATTTCTGTTGTCAGTTTGGAGAGAGACAACTTTTATTATATAATTGCATTAGTCAGACCTCAACTTGTTGGGAAGAAGCCTAAGACTGATATTATTTTTGCACCTGTTCCACAATAGAACAACTTGTATGTTGTGTTGACTATTAACATTGTTTTCTAGTTTAAGATGTGAATTGCAGAAGCAGTCATACTAACTTAAATGTTTTATTTCCCACTGGCTGTATAGGAGAGATTGTGGTGTTCATGTATTGATTTGGCTAAGCAAATGGGTCCCAGATGTGACATTTGACTTCAATGAGGTATGAAAGTTGCCTGTAATTAATGATTAATTATGTGCCTGGTATGGTGGACATTAACATGTGCACCTGTCTTATATGCAGAATCATATAGCTGAGTTTAGGCGCGAACTAATGTGGTGGCTAGTTAATCATCCGCTAAATTCAAGTCAGGAAAAGCCTTAACTCTCCTTTCAGAACAGCAGAACAAGACAACCACCAAAAGACGACGTTTGTCATAGTACTTAGTAGGAGGTTCCTTGTACATGTCTATGTGACAATCTGATGTAGTTCCATGTTATTTAACTTTGGAGAAGATTTATGTACATGGCAGAAGGACTGATTTCAAGATTAGTAATTGTGTCTTGTTAGCAATGGGTTCATACCATTTCAGACATTAGTAGTCAGACTTTATGGTAAATTTTACAACTCTAATATAAGTATTAACAGCATCATTATATATGTTTCACAACAACATTCAGAAGATGAAAACAAGTACCCCATTTTACAACTTCGGTTAAGCTTTTAACAACTTAAGTATAGGTTTTTCACAACTTATGTATACCCGTTACCCACCTGGTTCCTTGCATGCTTGCACCTTCATTGGAAACGTGTTTAAAATCCGGGGTAAATTTTACAACTCCAGTATATGGATTAACAACATTATTATATGTGTTTACAACTTCAGTATGGGTATTCACAACAGCTTTCTGAACATGAAAACAAGTACCCCCTTTTACAACTTCGGTTAAGCTTTTAACAACTTAAGTATAGGTTTTTCACAACTCATGTATACCCGTTACCCACCTGGGTCCCTTGCATGCCCCCACCCAAATTGGAAATGTGTTTAAGATCCGGGGTAAATTTTACAACTCCAGTATATGGATTAACAACATTATTATATGTGTTTACAACTTTAGTATGGGTATTTACAACAGCTTTCTGAACATGAAAACAAGTACCCCCTTTTACAACTTCGGTTAAGCTTTTAACAACTTAAGTATAGGTTTTTCACAACACATGTATACTCGTTACCCACATGGTTCCTTGTATTCTTGCACCCTCGTTGGAAACGTGTTTAAAATCCGGGGTAAATTTTACAACTCCAGTATATGGATTAACAACATTATTATATGTGTTTACAACTTCAGTATGGGTATTCACAACAGCTTTTTGAATATGAAAACAAGTACCCCCTTTTACAACTTCGGTTAAGCTTTTAACAACATAAGTATAGGTTCTTCACAACTCATGTATACCTGTTACCCACCTGGGTCCCTTGCATGCCCCCACCCAAGTTGGAAACGTGTTTAAGATCTGAGAGAAATTTTACAACTCCAGTGTATGGCTTAACAACATTATTTAAAGTTTTTACAACTTTAGTATCGGTATTCACAACAGCTTCCTGAAGATGGGGGAAAAAAACCCTTTCACAACTTTGGTTAAGCTTTTAACAACGTCAGTATAAGGTTATCACAACTCAGGTATACCTGTTAACCACCTGGTTTACAGGCATGCTTACACCCTCTTTAGAAACGTGTTTACAGACTAAACCCACTTCAATATGCGTTCACAATAGCATTTCCAATAATGACTAAACCCACCATATTACAACTTTAGTAAACCATATAACAACACCTAAATAACGTTTCAATAACTTGAGTAAAAGTTTAACAACTGTCATAAAAGAAAATGATCAGTAATACCCATATTTTTAACTCAGTTCAAATGAAGTTCATATACGAAGATCATACTTAAAAACATAAAACATAAGGCAACAATATCAAACATGAATAATAAGGGGACTCGTCTTGCAACTTCTGTCATTGTTAACAACACAGTTAAAGGAAATAACAACTTCAATATAGGTATTTTCCTAAAACCAGATCCTTCCTGACAGTACTTACAATCAGTGACAAGCTAACATTAATATTTCATCCCCATTTAATGTTTTCTTCTCACTAACATCAAAATACACATTTCACTGACTATGTCTGGCCTACTATGTTGACTTATCACATGGCACAACCCTTCATCCAAAAAAATATGAAGAGTTTCAAAATATTTACAAGCCATAACAAAAAATAACCTTTATAAAATAAACCCACATGTGGACCACCAATTTTAACTTGGGTTTGGATTTCTGTATGTTCTTTTACTGTGCCCAGCTTCATGACACTGTCCACAGTGGTAAATCTTCCTGTTTTGGAATTGGGATTCCCGCCTCCTAATTCTTGGCCTTCCCAAAGGTCTACTAGTTGTAAGTAGATATCTTGGTTTCCTATATTTTGCAACGTATAATCATTAGGATTAGGCCTATCAATTGTCACTACTAGAATCATGATGTTCCCATAAATCTTATCTTGGGATGTTATTTTATAACAGTCCTCCACAAAATCATACACATTTGCATGAACCACCCTTATTGCAGCACAAGCGTGCGGACACGGAATCCCTGTCATTTGCCATGCAGCACAAGTGCATTCATGTGACTGAACATTGACATATAAGGCTCCACGCGAAGTATGTACACAGACCCTGCCACCTCCATAAGGTTCACTATGCATATGAATCGATCTAGCCACATTTTCTATCACTTTTCGATCAATGTTTGGACCCACACCATTTCTCTAGTTCCTCATTGCCACACTTGCTGTGAACATCTTCCTTGCAACCTTCTCACGATGTTCATGAATAAGTTGGGCAACATTATGCTGCCTTTCCTTTACAATCCAAGCATTGAATGACTCAGCAATGTTCGTTGTTATGTTATCTCACCGTTTATATGCAAACTTGCTCATTGCCTACTTATGAATATCACCATGATTGTTAAGCCACTGAAGTAAATCAGGACTAAAATTTCCCATCCTTGTCATTACCTTATCAAACTCAACGTTGACCCTTGCATATGCAATGTCATCAAGCAACTTTAATCCAACTTCCTTACTAATACCACTAGTTCTCCTCCTACCTCTGTATAATTTATTCATTTCAGAGTTGAAATTTTCCTTCACGTGCCTATAACAGTATGCATGACAGTCACCTCCAAATATTGCTCCAACAGCTCCTATTATTGTATTGTGACGATCTGACACAATAGTTAATTGGATTGCACCAACTATCTGTTTTATCATGTTTAAGAACCATGCCCACTCCTTATAAGTCTCTCCTTTCATAATAGCGTATGCGAATGGTAACAATTCATTGTCCGCATCATATGCTGAGGTTGATAGCAGTGTTCCCCTATATGATCCACTCAAATGTGTTCCATCTATGTACAGTATATGTCTTGCCTCAGACAAAAAACCCTCTATGCAATAACCATATGCTATGAAAACACGCTCAAATATATTGTTAACAGTTGCTACCCATTCAGCTACCGTCTTCTCATCGGTTTCCTTCAATCGTTGACATATCCATGGTATCAACATGTATGACTATTCAGGCCTCCCTTGTATTTCCTCTAATGCTTTTTCCTTAGCCCTATATGCTTGCTTATATGTCAACTTCACACCATAATCCCTTGTCAAGGTCCTCCTTATTTCATTTGGACACTTTTCAGTGTGATCCCTTACCTCCTCAATGATAATTGATGATGTCAAGGCTGCTCTTCCACCATGTGTAACTTGCATAATCTCTTGGGCATTATGCACATGTTCATTGCTGAGTTGAGTTACAATGAGGAAAAGACTTCTCTTCGCAGCTACTCTTGCTATTATCCGCCAAGGACAACCTTCAACATTGCATTTCACATGCACACATTCCTCACAATTTTTGACATATTTGTACTCGAAGTTTTCTGCAATACTAAACTTATATACTGCCTTTCTGAATTCTGTGGCATTTGCAAAAGTTTGCTTCTTTCCTAACAACAATTCCTTCCACTTCACAGCATTCATCTCGGGCATTGGTATTAGTGCAATCTCTACTGTACTTACTAGCCTCACATGACATCCCCCACTGCCTTCTCTTACACAATCACCCCCATTTTCATCACAAACTGTTCCATCTATATTATTCTCCCTACTTGACAAAAAACACATTTCTTGTGACAATCCCAAGTAGTTGTCAATGCTGCATGCATAATTACAACTTTTGTTAGGAAATTCACAACAACAATATAACAAATAACAACTTCAATAACCATAAAAAAACAAGTCTCACATTTGTGGATCATCCATTACTTCTGGTGTACTCTCCTTTAATGCTAGATACGCATGTGCACTAGTGTCATTATACTGAAAAAGATTATCAACTTCACTATCATCAACCAAATCTACTAATGCCTTATCATCGAAGCTCACTCTATATTTCATGTCACAAATATTAACATCTATATCAAAATATTCCAATATCATTAACCTCAACTCTTCATGTCTTATCCCCTGTTTTATCGTTTTAACTCTCATACTCCCACCATTGTATCTCATTTCACCTTCAACATTATTAACAAAGTTTCCACCAAGATGAAAAATCAACGCAAGTGTCTTTGAATATGTTGACCCAATATTGCAACTCATTTTGCATTATACCCTGCAACAAACAAGAAAAATATTTCATCACAATGTCATCTCTGTAAAAAAGATATTTCATAAACCCAACACAGCCACTTTCAAAGTTAACAACTTCAATATATCGTTTCACAACTGCACTTTAACTATTAACAAACCCTTCACAACCTCATTACTATGGATATTCAGCCTACTTATATACGTGATCATCGCAGCGCTTCTTCCAATTTCCCTCAGCTACCATCTACTATCCCCAAAAACAGATCATTATAAACACCGTCCTAAACTAATCTAACTCTATCCCTCACTAACCGACTCATACGTTCCAATAACTAACCATTCCCACAAGTTAAAAACAACAACCAATACCCCAGATGAATCAACTTACGATTTCGGCAGCATCGTCTCCCTCTTAAGCTGACAAAACTAACTTGGCCAGAACCCTAACCTTATCTAACACTAATCAACTTATTTGTTCAGATTGATGACCATTCTCACACCTAAAAAAGGAAAAAACCAACACCCCAATATGAAGAACATACGCCTTACGTAATGTCGCCCCTTACCTCCTCTGAACCCTCAACGCCTTGTACAGAACGCAGGACCACCAAAATGAAGAAAATAGACCGCAACAGTCATGCATGGAGGATGAAACAATCATATGATTTCAGAAAAACACTTACCCTTTTGAACCACCACCTTCTCGTCACCTTCGAGCAGCTGGAATGTGCACGTTTCTCTCTTTTCCTTCTCGCCTATCTTCCTTCGGTGTGCGGCTTATTGTGGTGCCCACGTTTTCTAATAGGTAAGGGCAGTTTGGTATTTTCATCTAAGAAAATAATCCCAATTTGGTCTCAAGGTACCAAAACGGGATTTGTGAAGTTGGCCGGACGTTTTTGGGATTCAAGAGTTAAAGTTGCATTTTTCTGTCATTTTCCCAATAATTTTCCTGAAAATACTTCAAAAGACTCACATTAAGTAACATCAATATTAATATAAAATACAAAATTTATGGCACGCAATCGTGAACTGTATTATTGTTTGTCAAGTCTCATGTGATCTTTTTTCTTTTTTACTTTTTACAGATTATCTTATAAAAATTTTTGAATTACCTTATAATTTAATTTTATTTCTTCAATGTTTATCTAATATTTTTTATAACAATATTTATTTAATAATTCATTTTTTAAATTTACAAGATAAATAGTACTTCTCCGATCTTAAATGTAAGACTTTTATACTAGTGTGTATAAGGGTCTTACATTTAGAATCGGAGGAGTATAATTTTTGGTCATTTTCTTATTCATGAAAATTATTTAGTATGAAGTAAATGAAGAATTCTGATATTCTTTTAAGAAAAAAAAGACCGTGAAGTACTCGAGATGATACTATTAGCTTCCTAATTTAGCTTTTTTAATCGCGCAATTAAGAACACAAGAAAGGAGATCGCATCAAATCACCCTGTCCGCTAAAAGAGAAAAGGAGAGAGGGAAAAGTTTTTTCTTCTTTTTTTTTTAAGGGGGGAGGGAAAAGACATTCTAATAAATTTTAACAAATCTTTTACAGAACTGCAAGATAACGACCTCAAGCCCTCAAGTATGCAATCATAATTTGGAATTCACTAAGAAATTATAAAAAAAATTGATTTTCAATTTCTTTTAATAGAACGAGAAAGATAAGTAAAGACAATAACATAGAAGTACTTGGGACTCGGTAGATTATTTTTCTTAATGTGTGAAGACAATTAGGTCATTTTATAAAAAAAAAGTATTTCCATTTTGTTCCAAAAAGCTTATGTGTCATTTTTTCTTTTGATAAAAAGACACAATTATATTAAATAATATAATTTTACAAATTATAACTAGTTAGTGGAGTAAAATGAGCTTCCAAGAAATTTTAGAATATGGATATTGGAATCACCTTAAAATTAACAACAGAATAGTTAAAAAAGCAAAGCTAACATCTCTTGCCAAGTGACAATGAGAGTTGAAAAAACTTGAGGACTTGAAGAAAACTATTCCAACATAGTAAGTCGTTAATGGTACCTTATTTAACATTCTGAATTTTAGGCCAAAAAATATTAAAATTAGTCTGAAATGGGTAAGCTATGAGACCCCACTTGGTAGAAGTTCCAGAAGTTTACTAAAAGGAAGAAAATATTCCTAGGGACTAAATCACATAGTAAGATTTTTCTAAAATCACAAGACAGGCCAGTTAAAGACTTCGATAATGTCTTGAGGGATAAAGTATGGGAATTAGAGATGATTAAGGGCCAAAGGTTGTGTTAGAAACTTCAATGAGATGATTCTTGAGGCTAACCTAAGTAGAGACCTAATTATAAATTTAAAAGGTTTCGGGCCCAAAAGGATAGTGATGAAAACTACACCTAAAAATTCTTAAAAAATTTCAAAAAAAAAAATCCAAAATGAGGTTTTAAAGCCCATATGGGTTAAAAATGAGAAGATACCCCTAGAGCAAACTGATAAAATTTCTAGGGTTTTAACCAATTATGAATGTTAGTTAAAATTGAATTATTTAAAATATGAAGAGGGTAAGCTATCAGACCCTATTTGGCAAAAGTTCCAGAAATTTCCTAAAAGGACGAAAATATTCTTAGGGACTAAATCGTATAGTAAGATTTTTCTAAAATCATAAGACAGGCTAGTTAAAGACTTTGATAAAGTCTTGAGGGATGAAGTATGGGAATTGGAGATGATTAAGGGCCAAAGGTTGTGTTGGAAACTTCAATGAGATGATTCTTAAGGCTAACTTGAGTAGAGACCTAATCATAAATTTAAATGGTTTAGGGCCCAAAAGGGTAGTAATGAAAACTACACCTAAAAATTCTTAAAAAATTTCAAAAAAAAATCCAAAATAAGGTTTTGAGGCCCATATGGGGTTAAAAATGAGAAAATACCCCTAGAGAAAAATGATAAAATTTCTAGGGTTTTGACCAATTATGAATGTTAGCTAAAATTAAATTATTTAAAATATGAAGAGGCCTCAGATAATTGGAAAAAAATGGGAATAATACTTGGGGAATCATCATAGGTTTTAAAAATGATTTTGTCCCTAGAAAGCAAAGAGGTTGGTTTTAACAGATTTTAAAGCCTATTTATACACTATCCAAAAAAAGTCAAAATAAATCATTTATGGGTTGACTTTTGACTTGAAAAGAATTAGAGAAAATTTCTCATGATGAAAAGGTAATATTGGTACCCAGAGACAAATTCTTAGAGTTATGGATAAATAGAAAGAATTTGGTCACGTTCACTTCAAAATAAATATTATTAAATCTTTTAATGAAGGAACAAAAAAAAAAGCAATACTCCCTTTTTAGGCATGTTATATAAGCCGTGTGAGGTAAATTGTGGTAAAAAGAAAAAAAAGTGCCAAAACATGTCCCAGGATTATCAGGTAAGTGAGGACCCAATAAAATCATAAAATAGGTGGAGGAGTAGCCAAGGTTATGGTTATGCACAAATTTTCCTTCATTTTCCTCCCTATTTTAATGTAAATTTGATGAACGGTCATAAATGAAATAATACAAATTGTTAAGGGGCAAGCTTAGAAGAATGACATTATATAATAAAATATTATGTTTTTACCCATATGAAATAGGTGGCATGTGAGGTGTCCTTTGAGGTGGTATGGGAATTGAATGAGAAGGATACCTAAGAGGGTTTATGTGCCAAATCAAAAAAGAAATGAAACAAGATTTATACAAGTGTCTATGACAAAAGTAAATGGTAAATTTGAAAGACTACCATAAGGTAAATTTGACTCACATTATAAATGCCCATTTCTTTCCATTTTGTTAAGAGTTTTGGCCAACTAAGGAAGAGAGGGAGAGGGAGCACGAAATTCTACAAGGGAAAAGGTAGAAGAAGAAGATCATGAGGCTTAAGACAAATCCAAGCTTCAAGACAAGGTAAGAGCATGGTTTTTGATGTATTTTGCCTTGCTATTTGTCTTGTTGAGCTTAGTCATGATTTTGATGGACTTTGAAAGCTTGAAACCCTAAGTTGAGATGCTGTTCAATTGTCTTTAAACCATGGAAATGATTGATTGATGTTAGATTAATGATTAAGAGGAGGAAGAGAGAAGTAATCAAGTGGTTTTGTGATAAGAACGGAATGAATCCAACTTCCTCTACTATTGTGTGAATTTTTGCTAGACTTGGGGGTTGAGTTAGAATTAGATTTTAATGATTTTGATGCTTATTATATGTTTAGAATGAAAAATTGTGTGGGGTAAAGGTAAGAAAGTAAGTTTGGAAGCATTAGAATTGGAAATAGAATTTTTTTCCTAAATCCCTATAGCGTTTGGCCACGTAAAGTTTATAGGCAAAGAGTTGGATTTTGTTTAGTTTGCCCTTAAAAATAGATTCTACATGCAAAAATATAGGCATATAGTATATAAAATTAATTTTAGAAAGATTGAAAATCAAGCTCAAAAGTTAGAAATCAATGTGGTTTAAAGAGAGCAAAGTATTGGTGTTGATTGTGATCATGGCTCTAATGAGTGAATGGCTTTATGTGCTAATGTATTCAGAGCCATGAGACATCAAGGAAGATGAATGGAAAAGGTTGGACAAGTAACTTCAAGGTTGGTAGCAAAAAGGAGCCAAAGAGGACAAGAGGAAACTTAAAACTACAAGGCAGTGAACTTACCTTTATTGTATGCTTGATATGTATGCTTATGTGTTGATGTTGCTTGATGATGATTTAGACTATGAAAGATTGAATATTAATCTATTTCTTGTATATTCTATGGCCATGTGTGAATGAAACATTGAGCATCAAACTATGTCATTTTATAAGCATAAAAGTATGTAACCAAGCATGTCATCCACCAAGAATTAATATTGCATGCATATGGGTAATTGTTTTCTACTGAGATTTTCTTGAATCTCACCCTCCCTTAACTAAGCTTAATAGGTGCAAAGAGCATGGGAGAACAATGCAAGATGGGGAAATGCAAGAACAAAAGGAAGAATTGAATAAATT